GTCGTACGGGTCGACCCATATCATTAGTTTTTATAATATTAAATGGGATATTTTTGCTATATTATTTTATTTTTAAATATATATGAGTAAAAACGTTTCATTTAAATATTTAAATTTTTAAAAAAAATAAATTAAAAAATATTTAAAAAGATATTTTAAAAGATATTTAAAAGGATATAAGGATATTTTTTAAAAAAATTTAAACCCAAATTTGGCTTTAATTTATATACGATCTAAGGGATAATTAAAGTTTTACACAATTGTTATTAAAAGAAATACAGTATTAACATTTATACGTATAATAAAAATTATTTTTACAATATAAACTTTAATAAATTGATTCTTGTAGCCTAGCCGAATCCAATTTTGCAAAACTTTAAAAACAAGTTGGTTGTATTTATTTTCTGGGTAATTTGGTTAAAAGGGATGTCTTTTATGTATAAAAGCCGGGTTACTGGGTCATCTTTAAATTCTGCAGAGACCAAAACAAAATAACTTTGCGTAGCCTAATGGCAAGTTGGTGTTTACTATAAGAAAGTCAATAGAAGTCTAAATAAACATCAATAATTCAATATTTATTAAGGACCACTTTGGTTGTACGTATTGGGTTTATCGCAACCAAACTTGGAAAAAAAGACAGACTAAAGAAAAACGAAATCTCGGAAACATTCCGATTGATAACGAGTATATTGTGTGGCAGCATCATTTGTTAATGTTATGCATCCTAGATAATGCGATAAGTCATTATTCCTGGTATATGGTATGTGAATCAAATACAATAAATCGCACGAAATTAAAACTAAGTTTAATCTTGATAATCGGGCATGCACTAATATCATTTCCAATTTTGTAATATGACTAGCCTTCTAATTAAGAGAATATTTTTTACGGCACAATTATCAAAAATAAAAATTGACTTTACCCAATTCTACAACGTTTTCTGAAAAGCTTGTAATTTTTCAAAATTTATTTTAAGACATATACAGATATGCTAGCTAAATGTTGTAATGAGCGGGGCATTAACGTGACGTAAGCATATTATGTCATTCTCGAAAAAAGGATTGAAGAATAATTTCGTAGAATCTGTGGCTCCACGTGTATTTGTTAGAATGTGCACACCTGCATTTTGAAGATCAAGCTATGAATCTAACCTTGTAAAAAAAGAAAAAATTAAAGCCAACATGTGAGAAAGACGGACATGCACGAGAGGTCGCGTGATTATGAAAGAGCGCAGTAATAAAAAATGAAGGCGTACATATAGATGAAAAATTATTGGTATATTCTATGCAGTTACCAAATGTAACCTAACCATCAAAAAACTATTATCCAAAAACGCCTAATTACTTAATTTTTATTGAACGGCCGACATCTCAATAAAAAGATTTGTTAGAACCAAATTAGTGATTTAATATCACACAACCGATAAGTTGATATTTGTAAACAATACATATATGCTGATTCTTTGGCTATTGTTTTATCAACAACAACAACAACTTAACTTATAAAAAACATCCGAATTAAAGAACACTTGTAATCAGAGATCGATTGTACGTCATTTAATATTTAAATTACAACAAAAAATACACACATGTCCAATATAGTCGATTGCATTCATACTTTGCATTGCGGACGGAAACACACGTGGGGAAGGTTTAGAAAGGAATATACCGAAAACATGAAACATGACAACAATGTAGAAAAAGAGGTTTTGTGAGAAATAGGAACGAAATATACATAGATACATAGAGACAACTTTTTATTTACATTACACGGGAATAAGAATGATATCAAGACGAAAGGGACTATTCAAATGATGACCAATTTGTGGGGAAGAAACGACCATTAGATGTCGCCAGGCTAGGAAGCCCTGCTTTTTGGCGTGCGTGCTTTAGTGCATGTACATATTTGTAAGGTTGTTTATGTTTCACGCAGTTTTTATTGAAATTTTTTAGGCCAACATTCTATAAATATCAGATGAACATACACAAACTACAGCAAAGGTACATATACAATGGACAAATAAAACCTAGACGCCTTACACAGCATTTAATACGGCATTTAATACAGTATATAATGATAGATGGTATATATTAAAGTAAAGAATTTAAATGAATGCAAGTAAAAAGATAAATTGTTACAATGACTGCACTAATACAGTTTTGTAATAATAGCATTGATTATCTTACTTTTAATTAGTGTTAGTCATCAAATTCGGTTGATGCGTTATCAAAAGATGTAACAAGAAAGACGGGAATACCAGGACACAAATACCAAAATACTGCTGACAGTAACTACAAACGGTAACCGCAAACAGTAATGACAAACAGTTAGCTACAAACAGTTAGCTACAAATAGTAACTATATACAAACAAGTAACTACAAACAGTAAACTATTAACAGTAGGCAGATAATCATTGATCTTCTACAAGATAAACATTTATGATTGGACAAGTTAAATGGTTAACTGTATATGGAGCGTAAATAAATAACGATGTAGTATCACAATCCAATACAATTGTATTACAAACTTTGGAGTAAATAGTCAGCAAAGTCACGGATTGGATGAAAAGTTGTGGGGAAAGGAAGCGCATGGGATTCCTTTTGGGTAAAAGGTAAGCCGTATATATATATACATTTTTAATAGAGTTAGTGCAGAAACCGGTATTTAAGACATTTATATATGCTATAAATATTATAAATACTATAAGTATTATAAATACTATAAGTATTATAAATACTATAAATACTATAAATACTATAAAGAATTAGCAAGAATCAACACTAAAGAGTTATATAGTAAGTAGATTACCAGGGATTCAGGGTCTAATACATACAGTATTACGAATATGTATTACGAACATGTATTGCTAGTGACTTTTCAATTATCTAATTATCTAATAATCACAATGAGTATGTTTCGAAAGGCTGGTTGGGCTAAAGTGATAAATAAAGCATGCATAATCATACATGATATAAATTAATTTGATGTTTTGGCCACGAGCATAAATTGATAAATAATTGACGTATTTATTGCCTTTTGATGCCATTGTTATTGTTTAATAGGTTTAATCCTTAAAAATGTTCTATGTGTTAGATAATAATTGGATCCTAATTCAATGCAAAGTCAGTCATTTAATCGCATTTACGTATTTTTTTTAGAATATGGCACGTGTATGAAGAAATCTGCCAATCAGATTTAAATATTTTATAACAATTTAATTATTAATGTAATTATTAATGAATTCCGGCATTAACCGCCATTGTTTTATATTTTAGATGATTAAAATACTTGTAATACTTGTATAAAATATAGTAAACATACTCAATTCCTAACTAAATTTGGGTAATTTGGAGAAAATTTGTTTATCAAAATAACAATACTTCATTCATCCATTCATTCAACTCATTATGTTATGCATATAGCCAGTTACTACATGATATTGTCTTAAAAAAGTTTGTGGAAGCGAATATATCACGTGTAAAAATGTGTCAGTTCAATCAATTTCTATTCCAATAATCGTTACATCACATTAGCAGTTTCTTATTTTGTTTAGGCTTGGCTCCTCTAGACGTGATCGAATCCTGTAATAGAAACCTGTCATGATATTTTTCTGCATTAAAATCGTTTCGTTAGATATTTTGTAGATACAGTAAGTATGTACTTATGTATGTACTTACTGTACTTACTGTACTTACTGTACATACTGTACTTACATATGTATTGGCTTGCAGACTCCCCGCCTAAGATAATATAAAATTTTCTTAACATATTCCTTTACCACGTTTTATAATGAGCTATGGTGAGCTATACTATAGTGAGCTATAGTGAGCTATAGTGAGCTATAGTGAAGTAGTGAACTATAGTGAGCTATAGCGATAGTGTGTTATACTGAATTGCTATTGACTACTACTACTGACTACTACTGACCAGGTTACCATTTATATACATTTCATTGGATGCGCAAAGACCAATCGGTATTAGATGATTGGACTTTTTATCTTTTTGTTACAATGACCATTATCTTATCTTTATGCAAATTAAAGTGTAATCATTTATTTCATTTTGTGGATACGTATTTAAAATAAACATAAACAATATATTCTCGGTTATTGTGTGATATTTATTAAAAATATGTCAAATTTTCTGATGTCTTCGACGGTTGATGTGCCTTGTGTGCATTGTTTATGTTATTTTGTGTGCTCTCACTTTCAGCCTACAACATATCTAATATAGTAGATTACTTTATTATAGAATTGTTTCCGTTTTAAATTTTTTTTTTTTTTTTTTTTTTTGCAATCATATATATTTATATGACTCTCGGAATTTACCAAACTACTGATCCTTAATCATTAACGAGCTTAACGACCATTTTAACGACTTTAAATCCTTTTGCTGGCTTCTATATCAGCTCTATTTCTGGTCATTTAAACCTTCCTTCCTCCCTCTCTATTCTTTATTTCTTTTAACGTCGTAAATATAATATAAATTTATCAATATATATATATATATATATATATTATTATTACGTAATTTTATTTTTTATAATTCTATAAAAAAATCTATAAATTATATATACCTCACGAGGGCGGTTGATGGTGTGTACCAAGAGCTAATATATTCTTCAGTTAACGATAAAATCTTAAAAAGAATAACAAAATCGTATACGAGCCCTTATAAATTAAAAAGGTTGATTCGTTGAATTTGCGTAACGATTGGTTTCATTAATAGGTGAAACCGTTAAAGATTTATCGTGAGAAATCGGGCAATAACAGTGATTACTTGTCCGTCTTCTTTCTTTATTTTCAACACTGCTACTATTCTCTATACACTTTTCTTAATTCTGCTACCTTGCCAAATTTTCTAACCAGATACTCAATTTCGTATTCTGATATCTCCTTGGCAGATCCCATATTGTTAAAGTCACCAGGGTTTTCTTCGCCTACTATTTCTCGCTCTCTTAAGTATTATCGATCGAGATATTGCTTTTTTCCGTCTTACAATGCCTCACGCCACAGAGACATTGAACTCGTCGACTAGTGGTGCCTCTATCTTGTCGTCATTGCCTATTCCGATTCCAAACAGTACGATCTCGAACAGTTTGTACAGTCGTAATATCTCCACTTTAGTTGCCGAACCGTCTGTGTCTTCCCATAAGTATGTGCTTTACTTTTTTTCTATATATTGTCGGAATTTTGTCAATCTTTTACTTTTCCGAGATTACGTTCTTTTGATCTCGTTTTCTCTATTTTTTTCGTTAAACTATTTAAATTAGATTATTTTACATTTTATTTTAATATAATACAATTATAGTCTATAGAGACAATACAGTTGATATATATCCTGAACAAATATAATTCTTTTTTCAAATTTGTTTTTTTTGAGCTTTTTTTTTTAATCATTTAATTTGATCCCTTCCCCAAGTTTTTGTATATCTTTGTATATCTTTGAACCTTTTAAACTAAATCTTTTCAATTTTCAGCTCATACTCGGATTACGTACATAATTCTGTAACAGCTTCGACTGACGATAATTCGAGTACCGTGAATGATCAAGATTTATATGTTGGTTACTCTACGGACGGTGCCAGTTTTACTTCTCCTCCGTCCGATTCTCATTTAAAAGTCCTCGAAATTAATCATTGTCGTGATAATATGTGCTGTGACATGGATCATGGCAACTTACACGATCTTTTACAGCATATTGATATTTCTCATCCGGAATTAAAAGTGGTTGATGGTAATATATTTCCGTTCGACACCAGTACCGTCTATACCCAATGTGAGTCTCTTAAATCACATGACCATATTTTCTCCGGTATTTATTACCGGTGAATCAACCGCATATATTTTATTGTTAACAATTTTCCTTCTGATCAAGTAGACAACGGGTTCCACACTTTTAATACAGCTCCTATTGGTTTCGTGCACCCTTCTATGACCAATTCTCCTCATAGTCCTATTACTGAGTCAAAATCTATTCTTAACATATCTGATGATTTCAATTATCATACTTATATAGATTATACTCCTTCATCTGTTATGAGTAAACAAAAGTGGTGCCCTCAAAATCTCTGTCAAGGAAATGTTTCTCAAGATGATAAATCTTGTGATTCTGATACTGACCTCCGTATTTCTTATCAATATCCTGTGCTGTACGAAAATAAAAGCTCACTAAATCCTTCAAATTTTAGTATTAATGATTCAACTTATATTCGTGATCAAGCTTCTTCAAATTCTTCTTCAATATCTACGAGTTATGATTCTTCCCCACATGCTTTTCAAATGAACGCTGATCAAGATCAATTATTATCTGCTGTTCAATCTCCATTAATGTCTTACCCTCCCACTCCTATTGATGCTACTGATTCTTCAACATTTTTGCGTTCGGCAACATCTTCACCTACGAATTCAAGGGAATTTTCTTCCTTTATTCAAGTTTTGGACAATCAGTCTTCAATTTTAACTTCTTCTCCACCATCATCTACGACTGTTCCTACTAGTATAAATAATAGGCAACAAAATTCTTCCATCATAACTAAATCAAATGATACGAAACCTTCGTTGAATAATTATAATTCATTTAACATTTCGGACTATTATATATCTCGACCAAATGGTCCTATAAGATCTCAAACAACACCGCCTTCTTCATCTACTCCTCAATCTGATCAACGTCGTCGACGTTCATTAACCGCAAATCTTAATTCAAATGATTCTGATACTTCTCAACAAAATTCTTATGTATCAAGATCATCTCCAAATGTTAATGATGATAAATCTAATAATCAACGTGGTTCTCCAGGTATTATTATTATTATTATTATTATATTTATGTACTTTTTAATTATTTCTTTTTATTTTTAATTTCATTAACAATTAATTAACTATTGATTCTGATAAAATAACAGCTACTATTTATAATCAACGGCGTGCGTCTTCCTCCTTAGAGGATTCTAATTTGTTAGTTAATCAACAACCTTATAATATATCAAATTTTGTTTCATCACAGAGATCTGAATCTGTTGATTCGGATCCGGATTTTTCTCAACCTGGTGCTTCAACTACTGTAGTTTCTCGTGATCAACATAGACAATTACCTTCTTCTTCTACTGTTGATCCTAATTTGTTGGTTGGGATGAATGAATTTATATCAACGAATACCAATTATTTACAAAGCAATCCTACTTCATCGATTGCCCCTCTCCAAAGATCGTCTTCGGACTCTAAGAATTATATGACTGTTCGAGTTAATTCATCTTCAAATGATCCACGTGTTCCTTGTACGTCCGGTTCATTTCAAAAAACATCGTCCTCAACGGACAATACTACTATTGGTTCATATTTACCTCCTGTTGCTACCTCACCCTATTCAACCGACGGTTATCACGTGGTAGGGTTTGTATCTTCCGGTTCGACAAATTCTGGATTAGTCTCATCTTACGTAAGAATCCGTCCAAAAACTGTTAATGGTATGTTATTTTTATTTTTAATTTTATTTTATTTTTTACTCTCTATCATATTATTTTAACAATATAGTTAATTAATACATTTTATTATCATTTTATTATTAGGCATGGTCGCAATGTCTGACGTTTATCCAGATCCTACTTTACCTTCCTCTGACGGTTTTTCTCAAGGAAAAAAATTTTCAAAGAAACGATCTATATCTACAGATGCAAGGTCGTGCAAACGCCGTGTTTCAAAGGTATTATAAGGTTTAAATTTACTTGATTCTAAAAATTTAATATATATGTTTTTTCTAAAAATTTATTTCAAATGTTAACAGTCATTAGAAACACCTAATATTTCATCAGTTACTGTCTTGACATCTGATGTGTCCTTGATTACTGAAACAAGTGGTGGGTTAAGTTCAGATGATGTAAACAATCATCCATATCGGTGTCCTGTACCCGACTGCACGAAAGCATATAAAAATGCCAACGGCCTAAAATACCATAACGAACACGGACATACTGTACATAATCCATTTACTATAATTATATTCTCTATTATTATTATTATTCTAGAAAATCTTATTCACATTTATATATTTTTTAGAGCAGCGACGGCGCTCGGCAAAAACCCTGGCCATGCCGCGTAGAAAATTGTCACAAAACATATGGTAGTAAAGGGGGTCTTATTTATCATGTTAACCGCAACCATCCAAATGACTTATGGGCTTTACCATAAATTCGTTGGTTCGGGTAAGCATATTTGATATGTTTGTTTGTTTACTGAATTATAGATATACTATTTAATAAGTGTTCTTACAATACATATACTTTTTTTTTTTTTAAATTTACTAGTGATTCTTTTAAGGTTTTTTTTTTCTTTAAAAAAGTATATTATATTATATATTATGATTTAATTATAGACTATTATGGTAGAAAAAACAAAAATTTAATTATGAAGGGTTAGTTCCAATAAGCACAAAATAACTATATGAATAATCTATGAAGTTCGACAGAAATAATAATAATTTTTTCTGTTTTGATGAACGGGCAAATGAGCACCTTTTTTTTCTTACTTTTTTTTACTCCTTTTTTTAATCTCGAACAACAAAAAAGACCAATCTTTTATTTCAAAAAAAAAAAAAAAAACCAAAAAAAAAAAACATTATATAGAACTCATTACGGCATTTTATAACTTTTTATAGACTACGATCGGGCAGCGTATTGTCTAGATGACATTTGTTCGTGCTATAGAGATAGAACATTCTTTAATTCGCATTTTAAATCGCATTTTATTTCGATATTGCCTTTTTTCTCCTTTGGGATGCCAATCGTTCGTTTCTTCATCGATCAACATTCGATATTCTTTGGCATACACAAGATTGCATATTTGCATTTTCCTTTTTATGTTTTTTGTTTTTTTTTCTATTGCATAAACACCCAAAAGTACTACTAGTAGAGTAATTATTGTTTCTATTTCACACGATCATATTTTTTACATATGCATCGTAATAAAAGATTTGTCACTTCCGGCGCCGGTTGATGGCATTGTATTTTACAACATTATTATATCAAGTCCTAGAAATGAAATTAATTATCCTTTATTAAATTAAATACGAATATTTCTTAATGATTGTTTATTCATTTTTATTTCATTACTTTATTAAAGATTTATTTAAGCAAAAATGATTCTAGGATAAACCCTGATTTTATTTGCACTTAACGTGCTGTAAATCATGGTCACTTTTTTAAAAAAAATTTTAATATTTTGATTATTTTAAACATGATTATAATGATTATAATAATTATAAACAAAATTATAGAATAAAATATTGATTTCCTAAATTTATAACACCTAAAGTGTATATATATATACATTTACTGTATTTGTTCGAAATTTATATTTTACATTTTTATATTTAATATATATACATATATACATATATACATAATATATAATTCATAATTTTTTTTACAAAATTTTCTTTAAAAACGTGTACGTATTAGATTTTAATACCTATTTTAAAACATTATATATTTTTTAATTTTGTTATGTACTTACGTACATACGTACACACGCACGCATAACTTTTACGTATTGGTTTCTTGCAGTAATATAAGTACATATGTACTTATATATATATATATTAAGAAATACCGGTTTTAAATACTGTATGTATTTGAATTTTTTTTTTTTAATAAAAAAAAAAAATACATCATCAGTGTGATGTATCATTTTATTATATACTGATACTATAAATTATATATAAATATATAGATATATATTGGTCGTCTTATTAAGCGTGATACATCAACCTGAATTAAAATGTGATTACACGAAATTTTACATATTAATTTGCAATTAAATAAATATATTTAATATTTGAAGATTTATAGAATATATTTATAAAAAAAAATTAATTTAATTTTTGATTAAAATTGATTAATTTTTTTTAAAAAAAATTAAAAAATTGAAATTTTTTGATATATTTATAAATTAACCAATTACAATTAAGTATTTTTTATATAAACCTGTAAAATTTTAACTATAATTATTATATAGGAAAAAATTATAATAAAAAAAATCATCTATTTAAATTAGTTTATTATATAAAAAATTAGTAACTTTATATAGTAAATTTAATAATATTTATATATAAAAAAATCAATAATTATAAAACTTTTTAGAATTTAAAAATTATATTTATATTTATATTTATATATATAAAATAAATCTTTTAACATATATTTTATATTTATATTATTTAAAAATATATTAATTATTAATTTTATAAACTTACTATAAGTATATTTTATAAAAAATTACTATTTTTTATATTTACAAGTACTTATTTATAAATTATTTTGATAAAAATATTTTTAACCTTAAAAGTACAGTTTAAAATAACAGTTATTAGATTTAATATTATTAATAAACTTTTTAATTTATTTTATAAAGTATGATGTATCAGAAGTGCCTATATACAGTGTATAAAAGATTAGTAGGTATGTATGTAGCAAGATCATCCTAGTAGAAACATCAAATAATCAAATAAATCATTGTTGTGATCAAAATTTGCAAGCATTAAGAATTTTCTTTTTTTTCATACCAGAGTGCTCGCTCTGTTGGTTCTGCTTGAGCAACATATACATATATATTAATCTATAATTATAAATAATGTTGGTCAAAATTACAGAATTAATATTTTATGATTTATATATAGCGATAGTAATTTGGTCAGGATATAATACGTAAAAGTAATACCGTAAATTAAGAATATTTTCAAGAATTTTGTACTTATATTACTATACATGTTAATTTAAAGATGCAAAATAGTCCCATTTAGGCGAATTCTAAAAGTAAAGTCACTTGTAGATTATGCAAGAATTTTATTTAGGCCTTAAAATAATAATAAGCTGACATAACAGCAATTCTAGTAGACTTTAGAAAGTTTCGACAGTATCAGCAATAATTTCGGCTATGCCCTTTAAGTTTTGGTCGTATATTAAATATGGATTTCCGAAACTTCTAGTCTGTTAAAAATTTTTCTGACAATATAGCCGAAAATATCCAAGGTCTTGTATAAGCTTTTGCGGATCTGGCTTAACATATATGAAACCTGATTTCTACATACCATATTTACAAATTATTGATAACTTTTAAGCATTTGTAAAATGTTGTCGAAATGGCCGAAATATTTCGGCCACAAGTATATATTATCGTCAGCCATTGCCGAAAAATCGGTGTTGACCATTTTAGGTCATATCCAACTACTTAAGATTATTATAATGCAATACATCCCTACCACATAAAGTACTTTCTTCATCAATGTGACCCCAGTATTCGTGAATATTCAATTTTTAAAAATGAAATTATTAAACAATCAATAATGATAAATCTAATTTGCACCTTTTTTAAAATTCGAACCTGTGATCGTGCAAAACGGTTCTACCGGCTTTGTATATTAATTATAATAAAAACCGATTAATCAATAGAACCGATGAGCTTTCATCTCTAGCCTGTATTATACAGAATCATAGCGTTGATCAAATATAAATCGGTCAAGATACGGACAACCTCTCTAGAATCATACCATTGGTTCTGAGAATTTCGTTCTTATAGAGAGTTGTGCTTATATAGAGGTTAAATTTTATGTTTTATATAAGTCGGTTTTAAAAATTGGTGTAATGTGACTGTAGAGAAGGTGATTATAGAAAACCTACCCTGGACCTCATGGGCTAACATTTGTTTAATTGGCAGGTGTAAATCAATGCCCGGGTAACTTATTTTATATGTATATATTATACATTTTTTTTAAATTAAATATACTTTTTGAGAATATAATGTTTCAAAACCATTTCTAGCTTTGAAATCTCAAAAAGGTTTTACTTCTGATATACTTCACTTGGAGGCAAATATTTTACTATTTATTGTTAGTATATAATAATTAAAAATCTAAAGACTAAAAACGGCTAGGGATGGCAAATGTTTTTTTATTACGTAATTATAAATGGTCTGATAATTATGATCTGATATATTTAAACTATTTAGACTTTTAACTATCACTTGTTTTAAATCGGTAAAAAAATTTAACCCATTTTTTACTATCCATAAGAAAAAAGACGGCCTACAAAAAAGAAGATTGATTTGAAACTTTTATATATATATATAATATATTGTTTAACATGCTTATACTATAACATGCTTATGCTAATACTTGTAATAGCTAATAACTGTCAACAGTCATAGTAAAATGAAATTTGGGTGTCTGTTTGAGCTCTCAAAACTCGCGCATACTCTATTATTTGTTTGAGCTCTCAAAACTCGCACATACTCTAATTATTAACAATTCTAAATCCTAATCAAAACTAAAATAAATCATAAACAAATACTTCAAAAAAAAAAAATTTTACCATGACACGTAATTTCTAATTAAAATAGGTCAAACATTTATATAGGTAATATATGCTAGTATATAGTATATATCGATATTATTTTATATATATATATATCTGAAAATCTTTAATGCGTTTGTAATCACGTTTTGATCATCATAATTAGCCAATCATATCGATGCCTTTTCATGAAACATCAACGCAGCATTTTTTAATTGGTTGACTTAAAACATCATATAGGATTTAAAAAAACCGACACTAAATGGAATCTTCTCTAGAATCTAATGGCCACATACAATTTAAGAAGCCCAGGTTTGTCAACTTTTGTCTTTTTCTTACACATTTTGATTATTTCACATTATTTATTGAATCAAATATGTATATTAATAAATAGCTGTGAAGCGTCTCTTGCAAGAAGCTCGAGAATTACAGCAAGATAACTGTTGTGACTACACCGCTCAACCTCTTGAGGTAGGTTTATCCTCTATTCTTAGATAAGTATTAAAATGATTCGCTACATGGATTTTTTTTTTGACTTTATATAGGATAATCTGTTTGAATGGCATTTTGTGATCCGCGGCCCCGATGGTACCGAATTTGAAGGTGGAAGGTATCTTTCTTTATTACCATAATACATTTTGATAAAAATTCTTTTTAATTTACAAGATCGTTTTCGTTTATAGATATCATGGACGAATTCTTTTACCTTCAGAATATCCCTTCAAACCGCCTAATTTAATGCTCTCGACTGTACGTGATGTTATTACTATATAGTAGTCAAAAGCATCTATTTTCGCTAATTTATCTTATATTATGCAGCCAAACGGTCGATTTGAGTTAAATAAAAAAATTTGTTTGAGTATCACTGGATATCACCCAGAATATTGGCTTCCGGCATGGGGAAGTAAGTACTATTCGTGCTATAAGTTATTATCTGCTGATTAAATTAATTTCTATTTTAATCAAATATTATTAAAAGTCCGCACGGTCCTTTTGGGTTTGATTGGTTTCATGACGACCAAAGGTTAGTTGTAGCTCAAAAAAGATCAGTTGTAATTTAAAACGTTCAATTTGTTTTCTATATTCATGTAATTCTATACCTATAATAGCTAATGGTGCAATTGGTGGAATTGATTATACCGAGGCTGAAAGGAGATTATTGGCACGAAAGTATGTATTAATTTTTTCTTTTTTTTTTTATTCCAATACCTGATATTGCTTATTTCACTACTACTTTGTACCCATAGATCGCATAACTGGATATGTTATACATGTGGTATATCCAATATTGATAAGTTACCAGATGATAAGAGTAATACACATCAATCTTCGCACACAAGCTCTGAGGACAGCTTAGATAGTAAAGTCTCTAAAGAAAATGAAATAATGCCACAATTTTCTTTTGTATATGATGATGAACGGCGTGTGAACGATAAAGATAACAACGATCATACTTCAAAAGGTATATTCAAATTTTGTTCCATTATGATATTTCATTCAATGTTTTAACTAATTTCATCATGAACAAAAGGCAAGAATTCTGCCTCATCTTCAACTTCCTTTATCTCGGCACAAAGTGTGGATTCTGAAAGCACAACAAATCATCGTGATACCAAACCCAATGAATCATCTATGCCTGAGACCAGCCCCGTAAAGCAACAATCATCTATGCCTGAGACCAGCCCCGTAGAGCGACGATCAACTATTGCACCTTCACCATCCAGGTCTATAATCATTATCGATGCATTCATCGCAGTTTTTGTTGCCATGATTATTACTTTATTGGTCAAGAAATTCATCTTACCCAGCTCCAAGTTTTAGGTGCGAATTTATTTATTGATATTGATTTAATCTGTTGTATATTAAACTAATTTTTATTTTTAATTTCTTCACAGTATATTCTAAGAATTATCCAGGATTAAGAAGTTAAATCATAATTTTCATAATTGTTTTATAATTTTTAAATTTCATATTTTGTTTAATAGTTTACTACAAGCCTTTAATATATATTTCAACGGTTCCGAGTCATAACTTCATTTCATTTTCTTAGAATTAGTTTTATAAATAATTTTTTTGTAAACAAAGGTTTAAAATTTTAAATACAAATTTCTAACTTTTTAAATTTGAAGTTTTGTTATTAGTGATAAATTACTAAATTTGTACTATTGAACTTAAAAATATACTATTTTTTAAGCTAATTATATTGGTATATGAAAAGCCATTACTTGTTAATTTAAATCGATATATCAAAAAATCTTTTATAAAGATTTTAAATATTTATTTTTGGTACATTATGTATTCTGGTGAACCTTTTCGATACCTCAAGAGTTTACTAAAGTAATACTGTATACTTAATAAAAAGCATTCCTTGTTCAATCTTATCTTAAACCTAACTCTACTTCTAACTTTAACTTTTAATTATTATTTGTACTTATTTGCTATTAGGTATATTAAAATACATTCTGCATCAAATATAATTTATTATATATTTAATAATTTTTTATTTTATTCTATTTTTTTTAATCATATTTGTATTTATTAGAATTAATTAGTATAAGTGTCGCTAAAAGAAAACCAGAAATTTTAAATATGATTTATATTTAAATTTTCGGGTTTTCTTTTAATGACATTCATTTATAATAAGTAATCATATATACTGTATATTTAAAGTTTAAAGTTATATTTCATATTTATTTTTTTTTGATGAATTTTACTATCAACTTAAGAGCAGGATTCGTTCGCTAACAATCTAAAAAAAATTTGGTTGGTTACTGAAATGTTTTAGAGTCAAAAATTAGATCAGCTAAAAATTCCTAGCGCACGAGCAGGGCAAGACTTGTTAACTATTTCAAAATATGATTAGCTGTCCCGAAGCATCCTTTTGCTCATATTTTAAGATTTTTTTTGGCCAATTCATAATGCGCTAATACAATAATATGCAGAACATATCGTGTAACATTCCGATCTATCAACCAATCAAATTTATGTTCACTAGTGTGCACGGATCGACGATTAATAACAACCAATAGGTAAAAGATCGGAAATATCTTATTTGCTTCGCCCTTTTCTCTTTAATCTAATATTTACTTAAAAAGTCAAACAATGGCCACTTTTAAATTCTGCTCACAATGGTAAACTTATGCAAAAGATATCCATGCTTATATTTGTCGCTGATATTTAACATGTTTCAAAATTCCATAGTAGTAACTTGTTATACCCAAGAGAAGATAAAGAAACTCAGCGACTTTTATATGCGTGCCGTAATTGCATTTATCAGGAAGAAACCAAGAATTATTGTGTTTATAGAAATGAAATTGCAAATGTTATTAGGTAACGATAAATTCTTTAAACTATACATTATTGAATAAGAAAGATCAACTAAGCGAGTATATATACTGATCCCATTATTTATTTTCAAGTGAAAAAACATCGATAATTAAAGATTTGGCTGCTGATCCATCTTTGGCAAGTAAAATTACTTTTAAATATATATATATATATTTTTTTTACTGTAGCAAGTTAAATTATTTTTGGTAAAAGACAGGCACGTACAGAAAAAACATGTACTCAATGTGGATTTACTGTAGCGGTACACTTTGAAGCACAATCTCGTCGTATTGACACGAAAATGACATTATATTATGCTTGCGGAAATATTAATTGTGGATATCGTTGGACAGATTTTGATAATGAAAATACGGATTTTCATGCTATACAGGATGAAGAATATGATGACCAAGATTACCTAGGTAGAGAGGATTATGATGTAGCTAACCAAATTGATCAAATTGATGATGCAAATTATGAAGGTATTGTGCAAGGAAGACTCTTATGTTATTATTGATTTTTCTTAATTTTTTATTTATTTTTTATATAGACTTGTCATATCCAGTTGAAAATATAGAATCTGAAGCTATAGATACTAGTGCTGCTCAATACCAACATAATCCTGAAGATTGGTAATATAAAAATGAATTTATAAAAAATTTTATTACTGATTCTTTTATTTGTTATGTGGAATTTGTAATTTTGGAAACTTACTAAATGTTAAAAATAAAGATTTATTAGACAGTTTAGTTATATTAATATTAAACAAATATTTATAATTTTTTTTAATAATTTATTATGTTGTGTTTTAAAAGAATTTTATAAATAGGTTTTGAATTTATTATATTGAAAATTTATTATAACAATTTTTTTTAACAGTTTTGTTAATAATTTTTATTAAGATTTTTATATACAAAATTTATATTAAGTTTTATTTAAGTTTTGGTTAATATTTTTAACTATATTAATTTTTTATAAATAATTATTAATACTCAAATTTAGGTGAGTTTTGGTTACTCTTATTGGTTTAGGTCATAGATAAATTAGTCTAAGCTTTTATTTTTTCTATAATATTTTAAAAGTAGATTTGTACTTTATATAAAATTTTAATTAAATATTTAATAAAAATATAGATATAACATATATGCAAAGTTATAGAATTGGGTTTTTTTTAAAATTCTGATTTATGCATATTAGCTAATTAGATTTAAAATTTATTAATCAACATTGCAAATTAGCATCCTAAAAATTTTATTTTATTTATTAAAAATTATAAATTCTTAGCATCAAACCAATGAACCCACCCAGTAATCAATAAACATAATTAGCAAAAGTAAGTAAAGAAATAGAGCTTATAGTAAGACTTTAATTTGTTTAAGTAAATAAAATAATATTAATATATTTTTACAAATTACAAGCTTTTTTTAATGCTTTATTTATTATATAATAAGTCTTTTGAGTATACAATTTGTAAAAAAAAAGATATAAATCTGCAGCAGGATTTTTACATGAAAATGCCAAGCATAGTAATTACAATATATCTTCTATTCAACATTACATTTTTACTGAAAAATGCTATTAATGAATAAAAAGAAATGCTAATATATTTTATTCACAAATAACTTTCTCTTGTTTTTTGAAAAACTGAAAAACAAGTAATTAAATTTCTATGTATAGAAGATCAATATTTAGAACTTTTTGGACAATATTTAACACATGTATTTGTTAATAAAAGAGCATATCAGTGTGTTTTTTCTGAACCTTATGCATATCAAACTATTAGTTCATTATTAGATGATCAATGTTAGAGTATATAACATTATAAATACAATCAAATTTTTTATATAGTTCTGTTTATTCAGATAACTAATAAAAATTATATTCTGGTTTTAGATTTTTAATTGCAAAAAAACCCACAAAAAAAAAAATAAGATAATATTGGTAAAGAAAGTCTTTTTTTTGCTGTAACTTTAGAAAAAATATACAAATATAACCTAAGTTTATAGTAGATTGGGTTTAGGAAACAATTAAAGATTATAATAGACATTATGTTTTTTATAATATATTAAAATACAATTTAATGTAGAAAAAAGCAGTTTTACTGATTCTAATACAAATCTATATATATAATTAATAAAAAATGATATGAACTCAGATTTATTTCAATAAATTAAAGTTTTAAAATTGATCTTAATATCTCTTTGATATCATTCTTTAGATAATCAATAAAATACTGAGTTAATAACATAATATATAATTAACATCATGGTAAGGATTTTCACAAGTTGTATTATTAGTCAATTTAATTTTTTTTTTTAGTCTTCATTAACTCAAATTCCTATTACAATTCAAGCTCATATGATCTGTGATAATAAAAAGACTATTATAGCCAAAAAAAAAGAAGGTAATTATAGTTTTGTCTTAAAATTTATAAGAAAATTACATATAAGGACCCATAAAATAAAAATAATTACAAATAAGAACTTGAGTAAAAATAATAACATATAGAGCCTATATTTTGAAAAATTTTACAATTAAAGGCTAAAATAACTTTGTATTATGTTAATAATAGTTTTTTTTTTTTTTTTTTTTGCTTTCATTAAGGCCATTACTTATAGTGGCTACTGCCTTTATTGTGAATTCAATTATGATAACATAACTTGTATAAGGTTACCCTATACTATACTAGCAGATAGCAGCACAAGCTCCCATACACCTAATTAGATATCGTCTAACCTAACCTTGACCTCCCTGTCTGTATGTCTGTTAGGCCATTACATATTTCAGAGTATATTACCTGACTATAGGGCTCAGGGGGCTCTCTTGCTAACTAACTACCTACATTTAATCTTTGCTAACAGGGCTCACCCTTGCAGAGTTCACCCAAACCCTAGTACTGACTTCATAGCATATCCCTAGTACTTTAGTATACCTCTGTTTCTGACCTCAAACTCCCAATTCAGATAGCTCAGTAGGACTGTAACCTGTCCCTGATACCCTAGGGTCTGCTCCTCAAGGTTCTTTTCTTCTGGTTCGAGACTTTTGGCAGCCTGGTTGGTGGTACCTCTCATTTAAGATTCTTGCCTGCCTAATTCTTTACATATTGGAATCTATTTCCTAGGTCTAGCCTTTACAATAATACTGTTGAAGATCTGTGTTACCTCTCTACTCAGGTCTTCCCAAGTGGGCTCCAGTTATCCTAGTTCATGGATTTACATGCCTACCGATGCCCTATAACCTGTCAGTTATCTGGTGTGACCATGTTACAGATACTAATCCCAACTAATCAATAGATAGCTGTTGCTATATTACCAGTTTCAAGGACTTATCTTGTGTTTGCACCACCCAATGCCAGTTTGCATTTCTCTGTATAACTCTAGCATTGCACAGATGCCTGTATACACCAATATAACATAAGTGGTTTTCCAAATTTTCGCCATCAGTGAGTTTTGAACTCTCAACCTACCACTTGAGGAGTTGACAACTTATCCACTTCACTAAGTCACCATATCTCTAATAATAATTTTTTAAATGTTATCATTATATATATATATTACTTTATAAATTTAATATATTTTATTCTATTTTCTTTTGTTTAATAGAACTTATTAATCAAGATATAATTCAACTAGGTAAGCATACTATTGATCAATTCTGTAATATTTATTTAGTTCTAAACTAACTTATTTATCTTATACCAAAACTAGTGAATTATATTTTGCAAAAGTTACTATATGTTAATTGAAAATACTTAGAACTACAAAAAACTTATAGAGAAATTTAAATTATTTTTAATTTTATATACAAGGTATTAAAAGAATAAAATGCAATACTGATTAAAAAATAATATGTACACATTTATATAATTTTAAATATTAAAACTTTTAATTTATCAAAAACTCTTCTTGCAGATCCTCAATTTCAAAACAAGAAAAAAACAAAATACAAAAATAACAGAAAAACAGGCTAGCAAACACCTTTTAGATAACTAACAAAAAAGCTATATTAGAAAAAAATACATATAATATAATAGAGGCTAAAAGACAAAGGAAGCTTCACTAACATATTAAAATGAAATAACAACTTTTTCAGCAAGAAAAATTTGAAATTTTGAAGAATTGGCATTATCTTGAAAAAACAGAAAACAAAACATATAATAACTGTAACAACAACAAATAACAACAAACAAATGAGTTCTGTATCTAATTGGGAAACAGCAAACATCACAATAGAACTAGTAACATAGTACTAACAACATACTAACAAATATTACAAAATTCAATTCTAAATACTGATCAGGCAAAAAAAAAAGATTTTGATCCAAATTTAGAATACAAACAAATGAATAAAAATTGTAATGCAGATATCATATCTTATATTAGAGATATAGGGGATAGAAATCGAAGACATATAGACTGTAGAATTTTAAACCAAGTTTTTAAAACTTCTACACAGAATCCAAATAGTATAGAGCACATTGCTAAAGAATTAGCAATATATGATCCAAAACATATTATGCTCCATGATATGTTAGTATATAGTCAAATACTAGAAACATTAAGAATAACAAAAACAGACTGGCTCAAAGAAAAAATAATTGATGAGTGGGCAGAAAAGCTTAAGTCAATAAGTTTTAATCTAGAATCCTTCAAATATAATATGAACATAAACAAAGAACCAATATACCAAGAAGAAAGAAGGACAAATGATAAGCAAGAGCTGAAAATATTAGAAGAACAAATGAAAGGTCTTAGCATTACCATACCACATCATCAAACAAGCCAAACTGCCAATAAATTTAAAATGCTTAAAAGTAATATACTGCAAGAAATCGAAGGAAATAATAAGAACACAAACATGAAAATAGAAGAACAAGAAGAAGAATCAACTGATAGAAAAACTAGCATCTCATTTTCTATAAGTATAATCGAGTATAGTTGATAGTCTTCAAAAAACAGAATATGCAACAAGAACAGATTCTTCAAGACAAATATGTCAACATATGCTCTATCAGATGAATTCAAAAAGAAAGAATAAAGTATGTCCAGTGGATCTTAGGAAATAATCATCATATCAAAACAATCAAAGAAGTATTCAAAAATAGGAACAATTAGATAGAAGTAGATTTTAATTATGAATATAGCAGAGATGCGGTGATGAACAGAATCAAAAGAAAAAAAGTTGAATGGTTTAAACTCATTTCAGAAGAGAATAAAAGTGAAAGTCAAAAAACAGAACAGCAAGAGAAACACAATATTAAAAAAGGAGAAAGGAAAGATATAAAACAAACAAAAGAGAATAAAGAACCAAGAAAAACAGAAGAAGTAAAGAAACAAGAAAAAGAAAAGAAAGGAAAACATGTTGTGAAGAAAAATAGTATAATAGGAAATAGCAAAAACAAAGAAGAAGAAAAAGAATTTTAAGAGAAAAAATGGTTAAGCATATAAGATCTATCGCCAAATATTAATGAAAAAGAGATCAAATATATGTGCAGAAAATTTAAAAACTTGAACATTATACGAGTCAAAAGATCACCATACAAGGCATTGGCAGTAATAATAGCAAGTATAAAGAAAGAAGAAAACATTTTATAGGTGCTACCATTTGGCAACAACAAATTAGCATGTATAACAATT